TTTTTATTTATTTTTTGCCTCACATGAAATTGTTGCATTTAAGAAGTTAGTACATGTTAATCTTTACAATTTGGATTTTTTATGAATAAAAAAGTTCAAGTTAGATTGTGGTGTAAGTTGATGAATCAGAGCGTTCATTATTTGTAATTCGATATTTCTACTTTCTTGCAATATTTGTATTGAGTTTGATACCCAATAAATTCGGACGATAACGTTAAAATGATGTTGGATAAGTTATATCTACACCTTAGTGATGACTCGACTTGACCCGGATAAGTTATATCTATACTTTACCCAATAAATTCGGACGATGAAATTAAAATGATATTGGATAAGCTATATCTACACCTTAGCGATGACCCGACTTGATCCAGATAAGTTATATCTACACTTTACCCAATAAATTCGGACGATGACGTTAAAATAATGTTGCTCATGACCCGGATGGCTCAAGTTGAGGTTTGGGTTGGTGGTGATACGTTGACCCATTTATAAATTACCTTGGTTTTAAGCGTTAGCCCATTTGTGACCTAAACCTTCAGCCGTGTGTGTGTGTGTTTGCAAGGAAACCAAAACTGAGGTGTCGTTTTTTCTTTTCTTTGTGCCTTGAGATTTAACCTAGATCCTCCATTTGTCTCTTTCCTTTGTGACTGGCAAATCACCATCATCGTCATCCTTTGTGGATGAGAAGAATAGTGGCAACCAAGTATAGAAATTGTGTGTCGATGCCTTCTTGGATGGTGTTCGTTGTTGTTATTATTATTATTTTTTTTTCCAAGCCCATAATTGAGATTTCGAAGAGGTTCTACATAAATTTACAAACTTAAATGATTTTTAAATTTTTCTATAGTGCATGGCAATTAAACCTGATATATTTATAGTTTGAGCTATGATGTAACTTTTTTGTTATTTTGAATTCGTTATTTTCTTTTGAAATATAATTTTTCTTTTTTTTTTATTCAAACAACACGAGTTCAATATGTGAACTACATTTTCTTGATACTCAATAGTTATGTATTTAAGGAGTATTTTATATGTTAATTCATTTTAAGAGTAGAAGAATTTGAGCATTATTCATACTTAAATTATAAGCTCTAGGATGCCTAATAAGATTTATCATGAACAATTAAATTTTTAACGAATTGTAATTTAATTTTCTCCTCTTTTCGTGATTTTTAGTCTCTATTATTTTGCATTCTGAAGATTTCTTAGTTGAATTTTTTTCAATGCACAAATATTTTCAATTAGTAGCATGTTATGTATGTGTACTGAAATGACCTCTATGAAAATGTTTATTAAATGTATATAAAAATATTATGAATAGAATCGAATCCAAATTGAAAACGATGGTTCGAGTTTGGATTTGGTTCTAATAACATGAATGACTCCATTTACGAAATACTCGAAATCTAATAAGTGGTTTCAAGTATTGATACCCAAACCGACCCACCCAATGTCCCGACTTACGGTGGGTAGGTAGACGCTTATTAACCTTATTGACTATGGTATCCGCTCATATCCTTCAAGATTTTCATCTTTAAAGTTTTTTCACAAAGGAAACTTTGCTGGAATTTGCTCGGGGAGAATTTCAATTTTTTTTTATAGTGTTTTATGTCGTGGGAAATTTGCAAATGAAATTATTTCATGTTTGTCTCCATTTAAAATAAAATTATTTAATTTTCATACTCATTTTCAACAATAATTCACGCAATAAAATATTCTACACGTAAACTTAAATTTTTCCCCTATTTCATAAGCACACATTCTGTGAATATTTTGCTGTTCAAAACGTCATTTTTTCTTAACTAGGACAATTTAACGAGGGCTTTATATTATGGTAACAATTCTGTATGGCCCATTTATGTAAACTTCATTTGGGAACAATACACATTTAAGGTGGTTGGAATATACAATTTCGAAATGAATAAACATGTTTTAAAACTTAAAAAATCAGGTAATGATTAATTTTTATTAATTAAATATATTAATGTTACAATACTATGCAATTTACGATCACAATTATTTATTGGTCACAATCAGAAAATGTCAGTCACAAATTACAAATTTCATAAGTCATGACTAATTTATCAGTAAAAAATTATCAAATTAATTGATCACGCATTATTTCTTGGTTACAAATTACAAAATTTATAGATTACAACTTATTTAATGGTTACAAATTATCAAATTAATTGATTACGACTTAACAAATTGTAAGTTATGATTATAAATTCAGTAGCAATCTCACATTTTTTAAATCACATATTATTCATTGATAACAAATTATGTATTTTATCGATCAATATATTATTTATTGATCACAAATTTACCATTTTATTAGTCACAATCATTTATTTGGTCGCACACATTCTTCTCATCACCTCACATCATCCCACTCCACCACCACAATCACCATTGCACCATCGTCACTATGCACGACTCCGTCATCGATGCCTGCTTCGTATAGCATCGATAACTACCCAAAACCTCCACAAAAAAGTACCAAAAAAAAAAAAAATCGACCACTGCAAACCACCATATCTCGCATTATAATTCACCCTACTAATTTTTTTACCACAACCAATATTAGAAAATCTATTTCTAGATTATACGATTAAACTAAATAAAAATAACAATTAAAAATACTATGAAATACATTATTACAAAATGTCATGTGCACCGCACGTGCCAATAACTAGTAATTCCTAGACTAGTGAATTTAAAAAATGATAATTATATTCATACCACAATTTTTATTTCTTGCACCACATTTTATTTGTATTTAAGGTTAAAAATCATTGTTCATTATAACACTTATGTCCCTAACGAATTTCTTGTAATTCTTATGCTCAAATTTTTCATTAGTTAACACATTTTATTTTTTATAACAATTTAATGTTCAAAAGTCTGTTGAAATGACGTAAAATAATTTATTTTTTCTCATATTTTTAAAAAATAAAGAAATAAGTGCTACAAAAATATTTTTCCACTCATTTTGATATAAATCATCATCAATGATAAGACATACTAATTAATGAAAGGTTGAAGATAAGAATTCGACAGAAAAAAATTAAGGATGCAATTGCTATAATGAGCAAAGATTGGAGGGCTTAACTGTAATTAATATGTTGTAACAAAAAAATGTGGTAATATAACCAACCTTTTAAAAATAGTGGCTTTTTTGACATTTTTTCAAAAGTATAAATTACTTGTTTCAACACTTCACGTGTTATTTCAATTATTTACAAAGAAATCTATTTACAGGCATTTTAGAT